CTCTATAAACCAAGGCACATCGGGTGGTGCATAATCAGGTGTTTGCTGCTGCTGCTGCTGCTGCTGCTGCTGCTGCACTGCTGCAGCAGTTTGTGGTTGTGCAGCAGCAGGAAACAAGAAAGAACGAATTGAATCTAAGATTTCTTTGTTGCGTGCATTGCGTTCAGCTGTAACAACTGCTGCTGCTTGCTGCGGCAGCAACACCCCAGCAACCATAGGCTCCACCGGGCGTCTGGGGGCCGCCCAGTTCACGCGGCGGCTCAGCTGCGCCCACGCTTGCTTTCTGCCTCTCCATGGCTGCAGCCCGCGGCCGCTGCTCCACCAAGGAAAGGGAGAAGCAGCAAGAGCTGCAGCAGGGGGCGGGAGAGAGAAACCCTCAGATGCAGCTGCTGCTACTCTCTCGGGGGGAGCCACAGCTATCACTGCGTCAACCAACAGCTCTCGCAGCTTTGCATGCATACTGCTTAGTTCTGAAGAAGACATCGATGATAAAACTTTAGCTGAAGGAATACACTGCAACGCTGCACGCATAGATGATATACAGTCTTTGCTTTCCTCTCCCCCCGCTGGCTCCATGGTCTCAGAAACAGCTGCACTTTCTGCTGTTTCCTCAGCAGCAGCAGCAGCAGCAGCAGCAGCAGCAGCAGCAGCAGCAGCAGCAGCAGCAGCAGCAGATGTTTCGTCTGCGATCTGCTTGGTGGCGTCAATATTTTTTTGTTTTTCTTTTTTTTCATTAAATATTTCTCGACTTTGGGTCTGAATCATGCTCCGTATTTCCTTTGCTCGTCGCTTGCATTCGCGGTGTCTAGTGTACAGCCATCTGTGCATAAGCTGATCCCTATGGTTTCTTCTTGCAGCGAAAAAATTACGTTTCGAGGGTAAATTAGAATATTGCCAGCCTTCATCTCTGCGGTGTCTACGCAGTCGACGACGATACAATACAGAAGGTCTTAAAGAAACAAACTGGGGGCCGGGGTAACCCGGAATCATACGCGTGCCGCGAGGCTGATGCTGCATGGGTGCTGTGATAGCATCTCTCCCCATCGGAATAAACCTAAGAACATCATCATCTTCTTCTGTTTCTAAATCTATATTTGTTTCTTCGGTTTGTTGTTCAACTCCTTCTGCTTCCTCTGCTTCCTCTGGGTTGTTGACGAGAGAATCTGAATTGCTTGATGCCAGCAACACAGGAGGAAGATGACGAAACCCAGGCCGCCATGAATACAAAAGGCGAGAAGTAGTTGAATGTAGAGAGAAAGCAGAAACAAAAGGAGTTTTAATATCGATACAATAAAGAAAAAAAACTACTAAAAAAAGAAACTTGAAA